AGGCGAGTTCCCACCGTGGCGGGGCGTTAGCCCGCGCCCAGTCTTGGCGCCCTCTCCCCTGAGCCCCCCAGGGAGCTGCTGGGCCAACCCCCCCGCCGCCGGGGCTGGATGTGTGGCTGTGGGCCCGCTCCCTGGGCCCGAACCCCCCGCACCCGGAGCGCCCGCATCAGCCTTGTCCCCACGAGAGCCGGAGCTGGGGGCCAGGGCAGCGCCCACCCAGCCTGCACCCCCCGGGGAAGGGTACTGCGTATGCTCGGCAGACAGACCCGGTAATACACATACACAGGGATTAATTCGATTTCTATTTTAGATTTCCTTTTGATTATTTCATTTTGCAAATTAAAAAAAAAAAAAGTTAGACACCTTGTTTCATATGCATGTTTTTCCCTTGGGTTTTTTTCGACAGCAGTCAGAAGCGCCCCCGCTGAGATCTGCAGTGCTGTAGCATGTCACATTTCACAGCACGGTATTTGATGTCTCTTTCAAATGCTTCAAATCATGGAGGTTATAGTTTCTGCTGACATTGGCAGTTGATGTTAGAAATTCTCCAGGGCTGCCAGTTATTTCAGCAGGGCTCTAAAGTGCTAGGAAAGCACTTCCAAGTGTTGCTGTTAAAGGTTATAAAAAGTTACTGGAAAAATCGGCACATTTCTAACAATCCCGATCAGATTTGACTTGCCTTACAGCCTCCACCCTTGCTAAGACTTAGCCTTTGTCTAAGTGCTGCCCTCACTACAAAAAACATCTAATTTATTTGAGGCTTATCAGAGGTCGTCTAAGACTTATTGCAAGGCCCTTCTGACTGCGGTAGGTTTGAAATTAGCATCAGTCTTTACACAGAAGTGTCCAAGTGTCAGGAAAAAAGCTGACAGTCAAGTATTGGAGAAGATAATAATGAACATGGGAATAATGAGCTATCAGCAACTGTCTTGAAAGGCCAGAATCCCACTGCAGTTCTCTTCTCCCTCAGTCCCTGAGCTGGACTGAGGGCTTGTGAGCCCATCACCACCAGTCTGGATGCATCCCCTAAAGCAAAAGCTTCCATCTGTGGCCCGAGGAATGCACAAACCCCTCAGATGATGCAAAGGCTCTATCAGGTATGGCTGGGCACAGAGCCTGCAGAACCCATCTAGCCAGAACAAAGCATTAAGAGGAACATTGCTTTCTGTGGCAGGATGCTGTCCATGTCTCCAGCTCAAACTACGTGCTGTGAACTCAATGCCCATGCAGGGAAAAGGCACAAAGGACCAGCAATGCCTCATTTTTCCTGGGTTTGATCTCTGCCCTGAGGATTCAGCCCACATGGATTCACAGCCCCACAATGGCACCAGGTCGGCGAGCTGTGACAGCCTTGCTCCAAGGACACATGACAGAGGGACTGCCGGGGGATCAGAACATGATCCTCAACTTCCGCTGACACAACAGGAACCTTTTAACATGAAGAGCTGTGAGCTGAGCTGGTGGAAGCTGATGTCTAACCAGCCACGGCTGCCCGGGAGTGAGGCAAACAACAGCCAGAGGAATGGAAATGGCTTGAGCCTGCCTCGGGCATGGGGCAGGTTAGTGTGTGCTGTATAAAACAGTGCAAAGGCTGGGACAGCTTCACACTGCTGTCAGACGACGACAGGAGCACCTCTGTCTGGGGACTCCATGCAGGACAGCTGTGCAGTCCTTCAGGTCTCTCCAGGGACTGACAGTCCCCCTCAACACAGATCTGCCTGCTTTCCCCACTCCACCAGCTGAGCACCAACAAATTTGTTGCAGGCATGGCTGTAACTGGAAGCAGCGGTTGCGCTGGAAAACACAGCTCTTTGGTATGAGGCTCCTTTACGGGAGTTGCAGGAAGGAATTAAAAAAAGAAAAAAAAAAGAAGTGGGGTGGTTACCAAAGCTGCTAACCACAGTGCCAGGGAGCCTCAGAGGGCACCAGGACAGGCCAGTGTCACATGCCTAACACATCCTGTCTCCAGACTTCCTCTCCTGCGATGTATGTGGCTTGCACGTACAGACCGTCATTCAGCATCAAGAAATCTGCATCGTACAAGAGAGAAAGGAAGCAGCTGTCAGAAAAATGGAGCTGCTGAAGCTGGCTGTGAAAAGCTGGGCTCAGAGGGGAAGAGCTTCTCCCCACATCAGACACACAGCAGCGCAGTGCCATCCTTGCTAAAACAGCTCTGCTCTGTGCTTGGCTGAGATGTGGGGGTCTCTCCAAAGGGCTCACAAAACACCACCAGCATCCAAAGGAAAAACCACTGGAGCAAAAGCCCAGAGCAAATCTCATGAAGAGAGCATCTCCCCATAGCTCCCACTGAAGCAGAGGATGAAGATGCATTCACAGCAGCCTCTGCTTTGCTCCAGCACTCAGCAGCCTTCACACCATTGTCCCATCCATACCAGTACCTGCATCAGAGTCGTAATTTAGTGTCCCCTTTGTGTGTTCAATCCCCAGGAGCTGGGCAGGATGCAGAGATGCTGCCTCCAGTGCAGTCTCCACTGAGCACCCTTGGACAGAGAAGTGGGAGACATTAGGACAGCAAACAGCCCTGTTACCAAGGCTGTTACCAAACCCCCCTGGCTAAGGCAACTGTCAGCCTGGCAGGGACCTGAGCTGGAACACCCTCACTGGAGCTGAATGGAGCTGGGGAGGGGAAACATCCTTACGGGAGACAGTGGGAAGAGAACGGAACACCAAGGGTATGGGGAAGGGAAGAACATTCACCTTTGTGAGAAAGGAGCAGAAGAGTTCACCTCTCATTACTGCTATGGGTTAAAATGAAAACTCCCCTCAAAAAGGTGCTCATCTAAGGCCAGTGCTGCTGATCTCAGCCCTCCTCATCATGTCTCAGGCGAGAGGGAACATTCCCTGGTGGAGCGAACACAACTAGCAAGAGCAAGACCTCTTCCTGTGTCAGCACAGGGAGCAACAGCTTGTGGACAAGGTCACTCACCTGTGGCTTCCTGGAAGTGTCGCACACATGTGTCCATGGTCGCCACGCTACCGCTCAGGGTCTTTGTGCCTGGGAGAGGAGCAGTATGGCACTGAGCAGGTCCCACAACTCACAGCAGGGAGAAGGGTGGGGTGGGCATGCGTAACATGAGCAGAAGGGGCAGAAATCCTGTGGCCTGCATGAGGATCGAATTGAAAGGCCTGCAACCATTGCTGCTGAGTGACGGAACTAGGCAAGAGGGAGCCTGTGCTGGCAGTGCAGGGAGAGGTACCAGGATGCTACCCCGCAGATCCACTGCAAGACCAGCTGGACTGGGGGAAACTAGCTCACAACACAGGCACTGCTGCCACAGGGGAAGAGAACTGAGACAGGAACGATCCTTCTCTGAAATACCTTCCCAGTCTCCAACTGCTTGCAGCTTAGGGAACTTGGTGATAAGTGGTGATGTTATAGTAAAGACGAGGGACAATAAATATCCGTAGGATTTCTCCATCCTTTCTAACCTCAACAGAACCTCTGACATCCATGACTCTGGGCAACAAGGTGTTTAAAGGTGTTGCCAACAGCTACAAATGGACAGATTCCTCCTCACACCATGAAGATGGGGCACCTCCCCTCTTTATGAGGTGCCTCATTCTCACCAGGGCCAAGACACTGCAGAGCCATCAGGCACCAAAACCAAATAGGGTGGCACCAGTGCTGCCTCACACTGACAGACACTGCAAGGGGGGGGTGAGCTATCCAGGAATGGGTTTGAGTGGCACCAGTTCTTTACCTGCGATGTAGGTGTTCAGTCCATCGATCTCTACCACCTGCTGACCCAGCGTGTGCCGACCTGGTGCCAGCCCCATGCCAGCAATTGCATCTGTCACTAGCACAAGGCCTGAGGGACGCAAGGAAAGAAGCTGTGTTAGCTCTGCAGCTGATCCTGCTGCAGCTCCAAGCTCTGCACCACACCAGCCCTCCCAGAGAGGGGCCAAGGTGTCTCCAGCCACATCCGAGCAAAACAAAAGGTCTGTGACACATCAGCACAAGTGGCTGTGACCTCTTTTGGGCAGAGAGGGCAGTATGCCACAGCACCTGCATGAGGGTTTTGTGGGAGCTGGTGATGCTGCACAGGCCTGGCACAGCTCACCTCTGGGGTGGGCTCGATGGGCAATCCGCAGGGCGGCTGGGTTGGTGTGGATGCCATCAGAGATCATGCCGTAGAAGACCCTCCGCCCAGGAGGAATCTTGTCACTTGTCAGCAGCCCCACGATCCCAGGGTCACGATGGTGGAACTGCCCGAGGGGAGAGAGGACAAGCTGTGGAGCATAACCAGGACTTGTGGGCTGAGACCCTTCCCATCAGTGGACACAGCTGCCATCTCTACCAAACACTGCCTGGCAGCTGTGTGCTCCGTCCTTTACCAGACAAATCTGGGCATTTCCTCGAATTTCAAGTCTGTTACAGCTTTGACTCTCTTTTAGATCAGGCAGTAGAAATGTGAAGCCAGAGGTTCAGTTCTCAAACCTCACTGCAAGGCCTATTATGAAGCAAGCCTGGGAGAATATGCATCTGTGGGGAGCAGGACAGAAAGCACCACGAGCAGCGCCAGTGCAGGGCAAGTGCCCTTGGCTACTCACCGGCAACATGGCATTGAAGAGGTGAGTGATAAAGGTTGCGCCATGCTGCACAGCCTCCTCAGCCTGGGAGAGATTAGCCACCGAGTGACCTGGGAACAAAGACCAACGCATGATTTTTCTGCCCATCTCTTCATTTATTTCCCTAATGAAGACCCTGGCATCTCAGACCTCAGCGCATGGTGGGCCACGACTGTTTCACCTGAACACGTTCACTGTTCAAATCACAACTGTCATAAATGCTGCCTTGCTCAGAGAAAGTTGCCTTCAGGCTGGGTTAAAGATCCAAGGACATGCCTTTCTGCTGTCTTCAGATATTTAATGGCTTTATAGAGAGGTGTCAAGGAAGTAGAGACAGTGGGGACTTTGACAAGAAAGAATACGGGGATAAAACTATCCAGAAAAAAAAATTCTGTTTTCCCCAACACGGACAGCAGCTCTAATGCTCTGTGAGCAAACCTTGCCTTTCTGTAGTTCTTTGCTTTATGTGGCTGTGAGATAACAGATGTTCTGCTGTATGAATTTAATGAAATTAAGTTTTAATTTCACCCTGAATAACTCCCCACTTTTTTTTTTTTAAATAAAAAAGGATTTTTTCAATGATCTGAAGCAAAGAAGAGTTTGTGAAACAGACAAGACAAATGTAGCCAGTTTTAAATCAGTGGCCAGCAAGACATTGGAGAGACAGGTCTCCTATAGCACTTCCTGTTGAAAACCAGAGTTACCAAAACTCAGCAGTAACCTTTGGAAAATTATTTCACCTGTCAAGGCCTAAAGCAGTTGAACTTCAGAGTTTGAACCTTTCCACATTGTTAACCCTCAATTGCATCTTTATTAAGATTAATGTTCTTTCCTGTGTTTGAACAGCACCAAATGCTACCTTGTGTTAAATGGCAGGGGCTCCTCAATCAAGATGAAGTTTGGCCCTTACTGTACAAAGGGCAACAGATCAGCAGCATCAAGCGGGGTCCCCATTTGTGACAGGTCTGTCACCTCCATACAGGCCAGGCCAAAGAAAATCCCACCCCATCCAATCGCACTGAGACACCATTAGAGACACCACAGCCCCAAGAGAGGGGCTGCCTGGCCCGTGTGGCACAGGGAGACAGAGCCTCCCTCAGCCTCCTCCAGCCCAGCCCTTACCGAGCGAGACACAGATGCCCCGCTTGGTGAGTTCCTGGATCACCTCACTGCTCCTCTTCATCTCTGGGGCCAGCGTGACTATCCGGACACAGTCCAGGGACCCATAGGTGGCAAGCAGGTCTTGGAAGGCACCTGCCTCAAAGGTGCGGAGGCAGTGCTCTGGGTGTGCCCCTTTCTTCTCCTTGCTGATGAATGGTCCTTCCAGATGGGCCCCTGCCCAAACAGGAACACAAAGCCATGACCTTTCCTCTCCCCACCAAGAAACCTGCTGTGTCTACCCTGCTCCAGTCAAGCTCTTGCCATTCTTCTGCAGCAAAACACATGGCTCAGGTAACTCTGAGCTCAGCCCAGTAAAAGATGCAGTGGTGGCAACTGGCCAAGCCAAGCCACCCCACTGCCATTACCCCATGGGGCCCAAAAGGGCAGGAGTGGTGCATGTACAATGACAGAGACTGTGGCAAAGGCCAGCCACAGGTTGAGGGAGAAAGCAGTTTGTGCCCACCTGTGAATCCCTCCCATTGAGAGAGCTCCAGCCCCTACTTGTGCTGTCCCCACAGTAGCTTCCTTCCCCTTAACAACAAACAAGATAATTGCCTACTTAGAGTAACACCAGAGAGGACAGTGAGGGATGAAACCACTTACCCAGGATACCTGCTCCGTGGGCTCCACCATTTCTTATACTGATCTGAGGGAGAACCTAGAGAAAGGGGTTTGTCAGATGTGGCACCTCAGACACAGCACCCCAGCCTGCCAAAACAAACCCAAATGTCAGGTCTGGAGAGAGCTTTGTAGCTGGACCACTTGGGACCATCAGCCAAACACAGCCCGCAAAGAAGCAGCCAGCTGCAAGCCCTGTTGTGCAAAGCTGGCCTGGGAGCCATCACTGTCTCAGTAGTCTAAAGGTTAAGGGCAAGAAATCCAGGGGTAGAGTCCATCTCCTCATGCCCACGGCTTTTCCACCAAGGCAGCTACCCAAGTTTCTGCTGACCCAGCCTTTGCCCTCTCACCTCTTGGTACCAACCTCAGCCCTTTATCACCCTGCAGATGAGAGGGGGAGAAAGTCACTTACCTGGTGATACACAGGTGGAGGAGAGGTCACGAGAGTGGGACAGAAGGATGTCACTCCATGGGAGAGGATTTTCTGACTGACCAGGTCAATCCCTGATTTGAAGTCATCTGTAGCCAGAGAGAAGTCCACCCCAAAGCCTCCTGCACCATGATCAAAATAGAGATGAAATTGCAGCTTTCCCAGTGGACATTTTCCCACTCAAAAATGCCAAAGAAACACTTTGTGTCACCAGAGTGAGTCACTCCATCTGTACAACACTGGCCAGAAGCAGAAGACTCCATCGGCACTTCTGTCCTACATTCATGAGGCTCCATGAGTACAAACCCCACCAACGCCATCCTGATGAAGTGCTTTCCCCCACAGCATCCCAGTGTTTTACAAGCACCAACTTTTTATTTTGATGCAGGGAAAAATCTGAGGATTCTCCATTAAAGAGAGGACCAGACTTCCAACATAAGCTATCACAGAACAAGCCCCCCTTGACCCTCAGGAAAGAACTATCGCAGATAATATTTGTTCCCTTGAGAAGTCCTGCTCTGTCCTCCCTACGTGCTGGAAACTGGGCATCCTGCCAGCACAGGGGCAGGACAAAATATTGATAAAAAGTAGGTTAAGAGGAAAGCTGGGCTGAAACCCCTACCCAAAGAGGATCAATGACATGACAGCAGCAACCATAGGCAAAATTGTTCTTTATCACTAGTTCGGTGACACATCTCCCTCGGGCAACTGAAACACACTTGGTCATGGGCAGTGTGCATGCAGCATGGTTTGAAGGTCTGGGATGGACAAACCTGGGACTCCCCACCCCTCTGCGAGCACACATGGCTTTACCATACCATTGATCTGGACGTCGATGAAGCCTGGGGCAATGATGCTGTCCTTACAGTCCAGCTGGATGTCAGCAGATCCCTTTTCATCGAAAAAGAGTTTCTCCGGGTTGAGGATCTTCCCCTCTCGCACCCACAGGTCCTCCCTGAAGGGACAATCACACACAGGCCAAGCTCCTGTGCCATCTGCACACGGGAGTGAGTGGCCATGGCCCCGGTGACGGGTGGCCTCAGATGCAGCAGCCCTCCCCAGCACCCTCCGCCTTTGGCTCTCTGATGTCTCCTAGGGCAGAGCACCTCTTCCAGCAGCAGCATGACTGGCAGCCCTCTCGCTGCCTGGCCTCTGGCTTTACAAAACTCGTGGGAATGGGATTTTCATGGGCTGTCCATCTAATGTGGTGGCACTGGCCAAGGGGCCCAGGGGCTGGCAGAGGAGGCAAAAGGAAAGGCAGGAGGGAGCAGAGGGGCCGCCTCGTTTCGAAGGGGACAAGGGACAGTGGGAGCGCAGGGGGCGACAGCCGATGCACCGGGGAGACCTGGGGACAGTCCCTCCTGCGTTCCAGGTTCCGGGTCAGCTCTGCGGCCTGGCCATGGCCGCCAGCACCCTCCCGGTCCCCCCCGGCAGCCCTCACCTCTGGAGCTGGTGGCTCCTCAGGATGCGGCAGTTGGTGAACTGGACGATGGGCGCGTCAGAGACGGATTTGTTGGACGGCATCGCGGGGCTGCGGAAATAGAAATGTATAACGTTCCCAATCCGAGCCCCTGTGAGGGCTGGCAGCAGCATATGCTGGTGTTTTGCTGCAGTGTGGAACACGGAGCTGACGAAATAAAAAAGTGATACCAGTGGGTATCAATACCCAAGTCTGATACCAGTGGGAACCTGTCTCATCCAGGGAAATTCCAGACACGGTGAGCTCAGGACGCTTGGAGAGGGGTGCGGAAGGGCTGCTGTGCTGAGTGTACACGTGTCAACATCTGTTTGTCACAACAATCTCCCCAAGACCACCTTCCTGCCAGTCTGCGCACACCTCCTGCTGCCTCTTGCCTTATGCTCTGACGAGAAATGTTTGGGGCGGAATCTGGAGTCCACTGACCCCAGGGTGGAGCTCCTCAGTGCAGCTGGTCTAGAGCATCATTACTCAGCCCCAGGACAGACCAGAGTAAGCTCAAGCCACCTTCACAAGTTCACTACTACTCAGTATCTTCCAGCCAAGGATCCCACAGCCCTTAGTAAGCCAAGATGCAGCTCTTGTACAGGCAGTCACTGCTAGTTGGGCAGCCATGTCACATGCCAACGGGTAAAAAGCTTTTGTGGAAGAAATGTTACCCACTAAGTATTACTTTTTATCAAGCAAAGTTGAAAGGCTTGAGAGGTCAGAGGAGATCCATTAGTGGTTTCTAATGGCTTACACCTCCGTGAATTTGTGAACAAGTAACCTTGGCTTGAATAGCCACAGTGGACTTGTCCTCTCTGGGGAATGACTGCCAGGAGAAACTGCTCAGCTTGCTTTGCTTTGTGGCACACCGCACGTGCATGGAACAGTCCGCACATCATACCATGAGGTCCACTGGGCTACATCCACTGTGCAAGGAAGCAACCCTGCAAGCCTCGCTTCATGTGACCCATGATTATTTACTTCTTGAGGGCAACCCCAGGCATACCCAAGAGTGCTGGATGGACTGGTCACAAAGGACTGGTGGATCCTTGCCCCTGAGAGCTGGTAGAAAAGTGTTGCAAAGCACATATCTGCTTGGAAATCTGGCTATATCACTAATAATTACACTAACAACATTAAATGTGAACTGTTGGCTTAGGCAAAGTAAGGTTTCTGGACTCACCCTTTCACTGGTTCTGTCTCAGCTACAGGACAGCTAAGTCATTACTTACTTTAGATTTTACTTTCTAAGCTGACAGCATTGCTGTAGGCAGGCTCCTGCGGTCATTTGACAAGTCAGCAGCAGCCTGGGAGAGAAAAGCTTGTTCTGTGCTCTACAGCCAGGCCCCTGCCTTTTCTCCCAGCAGACCATGCCACCAAGGGTCCTTATGTCTGCAGTCTCTGTGGCCAGAATGGCAACAATGTCCAATCCCCAAAACATTAAAGGCAACAACTGCACATTGTTCAAATTAAAGCTGGTGTCCTCCAGTCTAAGCATTTACTCCTGAACATCTGCTGGCAGATGCTTCCATTTCCCCTTGGTCCTGTCTGCTCCAGGGGGATTGCTGAGTGCTGCAGCAGTCCACCCAGCGCTCTCACTCGCATGTTTATCCTGTTTGGTGTCCTGTGGTATTACAGAGAGAATCGAGTGTCTCATCAAGGACTGCGTGTCTGGGCAGGGTGCTGATGTGAGCTCTGCTAATGAACCACACTGAAAAAAGATAAATGATTGGGAATGTAAATGTGCATGAACGTAACATCCCACTCTGGCCAGGAATTGAATTTTAATGAGGTTTTATGCTGCACTTACTCCATGATGTCAGTGCTTGTCCACACTACAAGCTGCCTCTTACTGTCAGCAGGATGCCGGTAAAGGCCCCTGAAATGGCGAGCTGACAATGATTCTAGTTGTGGCCAGGAAAACTGTGCAGCACTGTCTTGGGACAAATGCCAAGAACAGCTTCAGGTAATGTGATGGTACAATTCTTATCCCTCCCTGCCCTCCTTGTTGGGCTGCTTGGTGCCAGGTGTGATTCCATCCACATTCCCCCGAGCCATACACCAATCTGTGGAGATAAGGACTGATAACCTTGAGGAGCCTGGCTCCTGCCCCTCCCAATTGCTTGGAAAAGGTTATAATGGCCCATCATCTCCTGATAGCCTGACACACCTGTGCCTGGGATGTGATCAGATGGAACAATAACAGGGTTGCATGTTATTCAAATTCTTGTGCAACTGCCCGGAAGGCACCAGATAGTATTTGAGAAAAGTCAATTATCTTGGATCCTATAAACTGGGACCACCAGAGACTCTTCGAGCTCTCCTGGATCGAAGCGGGCTGTGACCAGCAGCTCCCCTGAGCACGACGCCTCTCAGGTGTGTCTGCTCCAGACGGAAGGCCAGGGCGAAGTTCCCCCCTCTCGAGTCTCAATTATCGCCCACTGAGGAATGCCAAGGCATTGTGAGTATTTGCTCTAAACGTGAGAGGGAAATTTTCTTTAACCTACCTTCTATTTCACCTGTTTATTGGTGTGCGTGGGTATGTACCCTAGCCTTTGTTCCTGTGTGTTTGTCCCTTTTGTGTTCATTTTACTGAATCCAAATACCTTTGTTTCTGTATGTATATGTCTGTTTTGTGTATGCGCATTTATATATGTGTATAAATTAAGGTACCGTTAAGTAAGTTAGAGTGAATATTGTCATTTTTGAACCTAAGTCACTTTTCTTTCTGAGTTATTTTGTATTGACAAATAGTTGTTAGTTATTAATAAATCTATATTATTTTTACTAGATCATTACTGTGTCAATACTTTCATTCACAACAGGTAGGTTTTCCTCATCGTCGCTGAAATTATCCACGTCTGGGGCACGAAGCAGCGTATTGGTGGGAATGATTTGTGGCTTCAGTACAGGCAAAGTCGAGGAAACTCCAAAAACAGAAGATTAGAAAATGAATCCTAAAAGCAGATCTCAGGCCTGCTTATTTGAGCAAATGGAAAATGGCTCAGAACTCCTCCCTCTGTGCTGCTGGGAAGAACAGAGCAGCCTGTGCCAAGATGAAAGGTATAGAAATTTGTCTCATCAATGCTGTAGGTATGTCATCCAGCTCAACTTTATGTCATGTATCCATCCTGCTTAAGTCTTATCCCTTTGGATGTTCTCCTTTTATTTCTTAGTATTAAGCTAACCTTGTCTTACATCACTAATAATTGTACTACTTCTCTAATAATCACATGTTCTTTCTCTCTGCTGCTCCAGGAATAGGCTAAGGAAATCACAAGCTGTAGTTTCACCTGCATTTTCTTCAGCAAATGTTTTTTTCCTCAGGTTATTTTTAACCTGTCTCAATTCCCAAATTAGATTCATTACCTGGCAGCATGAGAAGTACCAGCACACTTGGGAGAAACAGGGGAGGGCATGCAACAGATGTGAAAGGTGGTCTGGGCATCCAGAGAGAGCATTTGGGCTAGCATTGCTGCCAAATGAACTGCTTGTAGAGATGCAGCCTTGGCTTCCAATTTTTCACGTGCATTCAGAGAGGTCTAAGAAATTGTCCTAATGCACACAAGAGACAGGTAGGCTGTTTATGAGTTGAAAACATACTGCCAATCTTGGGAACATATGCGATTTCCTAAGATTTGTTGATATGAGAGATGAGAAACCAGGCCTGCAAGAAACTAAGAAAAACAGCCTGAGAAAGCAAAAGTTGAGGCTGATCGAAGAAAGATGTGGCAGTCCTCAGCCTACCTTAGGCAGGTAGAGCCATGAGGTGTAGGTGGTCATATGCATTCCCTGCCACTCGAGATCACCCCTACACCCTCCCCTGAAGGCAAAGGAGGAAAGCACAGATCTAACAGCAGGAAAGGACAGTTCAAAGTGCCAAAAAAGGGTCTGGCACTGCAAGAGCCACCAATAACCCCTTGCTAAATCCAGAAGAGCCAAGACCTGAACCTGTAGTGAGCGCATCTTGTCCCCTCAGCAAAAGGAAGAGGGCAAACAGGAGTCACTCATTCTCCAGTAGCCTCGTCCTGCCCTCCTGCTACCCAGCTCATACTCACAGGTCAGTGAGAACTGGCAATGGTCTGGAGATTCCTTCTGGGAGGCACTTGGAACCCTGCAGTCTGGCCTCTAGGAGAGCTTTGGGCCTGACACACTCTAAGGCTGGGGGATGATTTTTTTTCTGTGTGCTTTGGCACTGTGATGCAGAAACTAGCTCGAAAGAACCTCGGTGATGTGAGTTGCAAAGATGTGACTGTCTCAGGAGCTAAATGAAGCGTGGCTTGCAGAGAAAAAGAACAGCATTCATTAGTAAGAGGAACAAAAATGGAGGAGCTTTCTGGGATACAATCCTTTGATACTGAAACAGAAAACTCCCACTTCAGGATTAAGTGGTACTTGGAAAACTCTGGGTTTAATTTAATTACGTTGAGAGAAAAAAAAAAAGGTTAATACCTGTAGAGAAGAAAGAGATACAGTAAGAGCAGAGGTGGCAAGTCCTGTGTGTCAGACAGAGGTAATTCTCACTTGAGGAACAGTGATGGTTTGTACAGTAAGGCCAGATGGAAACAGTAAAAAGCTGTAAAAAAGCCATAGGCCAATGATTAGACTGCAATGGAAATAAGATTTACCGAGAGTTGTTTTCATTAAATCTGCTGTAGGTGAAAGCAGCAGCTTAGTTTCTGGAATCAGTTTCTCTTAATGAGGTTTTTATTTCCTCAAAGCTTCTTGACTTTTCCAGGTTACTATGCTTCTCTGTAAACCAGGTCTCTCAAGGAAAAAATCCCTGAGCAATCACATAAAAATCCTACTACTTAAAAATGCTTCTTCAACAGAACAGTAAAAAAATTAAAACTAGAAAATATCCGCAGCCTTTGAAAATAAAAAGCCAGTACAAAACAGTTAAAAAAGAGACAGGTCAGCAAGCCCTCTGAAGGCATTGTCCATGCAGGCAGCATCTGGCAGCAGGCATCCCTTACCCTCACCTCACCCGAACTGACTGCTAATGGACATTTACCCTCTGCTGCTGCTGCAGAACCACCCTCCTCTGTTCTCGCTCTGCAGGGCTGAC